CATAACAGGGAAACAGCCTTATATACATCTGACATGAACAGTGAATGTGTAGTTCTTCTGGAATACCTTGCCACCCCTTAACGTTTTCATATAAGCTTATCATCCATTCCCTTCTATGTGTGTCTCTTGCTCCTGCTTTTGACTTCACCTGCAAACATAACCCTTTCAAGCCAGCCCTTCCTCTTCAAAGTTTTTCTGGACCATTATAGCCTTAATATAGGTTTTATTCTTGGCTAATCTTTTCACTCTCATTTCACTCCTCTCCTGCTTTGTTAAGCCCTTTTCCTTTTCCTTTTCTTTCCATCTTGCATACATTTTGGAGTTTTCAGGACAAGAGAAGTATCTGTTGTACAGAACAGAAGATAGCCTACCTGTGCTCCTCCAGAGGTGGCTAGATTGCAGCTCCTAACATCTCTAGAAGATATAACCAAAGGTTGTAGATGTTGAAGATGTAGTTCAGCAGTATCTGGAGTGTTACAGGTTGCTTACTCCTGCAGTAGAGTCATGTTAGGGTTTAGCCCTGGACATATTTATTTTGATGGCCATCATCAATATCATTAAGTAATAGAATGCCATTTCCCTCACACTTCATTTCTACAAACTTTAAACATGTTAACTGCTGTAGTTTGCTTGCCTTGTACCGAACCTCCTAAAATGTTCGCTGAAATTTTAAATTTGCAAAATCTAGAACACCAGCAATTCACGATCTGTATAGAGATCATTGCAGCTTTGAACACTTAATTCAGAAGACAAAAAGTCTTGCTCTATTGTGTGTGAGTTTAGAATAATAATTAACTGCATCCAGATGGCATGAGCATGTTACCCAACTTGCCCCTATTGCAATCTGGTTGCAGAGCCCTTAGAGCAAAAACACACCTACGCAGCTGTCTGGTAGTTACACAAAATATCCTTGTGATGAGTTAGACAAACAGCTTCCATCCAGAATCAGGTTACTACAAAATAATGTGGTCACTGTTTTGAAACATTTCAGTTAAGCTTCTCTTCCCCACTTCTGTGAAGTAGACTGCCCAGGATTGCAGTGGCAGTAGTTGGCCAAGAGGACAGGAGAAGCTCAGCGGTTTATCCCTGATGTTGTTGCAGTAAGGCTGTTAACCCAAGTTAATAATAGTGAGTGAAAAGAGGCAGCAACATTTTAACTAATGCCATAAAGAGTAAGTTTCTTCATGGCCGAGATCTGTCTCTCTCTCTCTCAAAATAGATTTCCACGTATGAAGGTGAGAACTTAAAACTTCAATTTTTATTACTTTTTAAAACTAGTTCAAAGCCTTTTGAAGCTTTTTTAAAATGGGTAAGAGAATGTTCCCATACTCTTTATGTGCATTTTAATATGGCCTAATTCCATAGGTCAGACCCAAAGAGAAGAGATGAAATGCTTTTGAATGGTGTTTGTGAGGCAGGTATTCTCAGCTGGAAAGCTGTACAGAGTTTGCAGCTGAGCGATTCTTCTTTAATTTTTTTTAAACAAGTGCTAGTTACTTGATAGAAAAGCTTGCTGCAGCTTGCAGACTGTTAAAGGGTGTAAATGCAAGACCATTTGGGTTAATTATCCTCCTAACAAATACTGATAATTGGATGCAAGTGAAAAAATATTTTTGCCTTATGTGAATTACTGTAGCTATATAGGTAGATTCATTGTACATAGAACTGTGTTTCCATAAACTCTAAAATCATGCTTGCTTCTTTCTAGTTGCTTTATTTTCAAGGTCAGCTGAAATATTTCAATGAGAGCTGAAGCCTGTGCATTATACCAGAGGCACAAGAACCGTTCATTCATTCTCTACCACCTGAGAAGGCAGAACAGAGATCTATTAATTGATGAAAAAGAGAGAGGAACCACCATTGTAATTTGCTGCTACTTCCACCATTTGGAGTTGCAGGGCTCTTTTTCCTCACTCTTCATAGGGCTATTAAGAAAGGGTAATGAGAAAATGCACCATGGGAAGCATCATAGGGCCATCTCTATTTAGCCTATTAAGATTTCATATCTGAATTTGCTTATTTCCATTCCCTATTGAGCTCCTTTATTTTCTGTATCTACTTTGGATTATTTTATTTATTTATTGGATTTAGAGGCCAACTGACTCCTAATGACTCCGGGCTGTTTATCTCTCAAAAATAGGAAACAATAAAATGAAAGAAAAAACACATGTATGTCTGGAATAAACAACCCAATACATCAAAAGAAAACTAACAGAGTTTGACAACAACCTTAACCCCAGGCCTGGGAGCAAATCCAGGTTTTCAAAGACTTGTAGAACAGCTACAGGGTAGGAGCCATATGGATCTCTTGGGACATGCTGCTGTATTTCAGAGAGAAGGCACTGTGATGGAGAAGGCACATTTCCTTGTATAATTTGAAGGGACCTGGAGTGTGCCCACTCTGCCCCATCTTGGGGGGGGGGGGGAGAGAAAGTATTGAAGATAAATGGTCCCTCAAATAACTGGACCTTATACCATGAAGGGCTTCATAGGTGCTACCAGAATCTTGAATTGCACCCGGAAGCCAACCAATAACCAGTGCAGCTCACCAAGCAGGGGTGACACATGAGCGTAACATGGGGTGCCCATTGGTGCCTGCACCACTGCATTCTGGACCAGCTGTAGCTTCTGAGTAGTCTTCAGGGATAGCCCCATGTAGAGCCCATGCAGTAGTCTGTTCATGGGATGACTAGGGTGTGGATGACTGTTTTTGATAATGCAGGTAGCTAACATTTTCCCAGTGCAGAAGTCCAGATGAATGGCATGAAGGCTTACAGTTATGGGCAACTGGGATTTCATAAACAGGGTTTGGGCCAGTAGGTGCACCCCTGCATTCCCCTTCACATTAAGCAAAATGTTTGATAGGGCTAAAGCAGTCTTCCCCATCCTAGTCAGAAGAGACAGCGACACTCCCAGCCACTTTTGCTTCAAACGGGGTAAAGTGAGGAGATGCTTCTTTTGATGAAAGTACTTCCAGTGTTTTATTTGCAGCTTAGGCAGCCTTCTGTCCATGGGGAAATGGAAGGCTTCCTACACAATACTCTCCTCCTTGTAGTTCCTCTAGCTCCTCTCTGAGATTTTAAATCATTTGCTACAGTCAAAGGATCACATACGGTGTTGTGGAAGTTCCAGTCTGTAATTGTAGAATGTATAATAGTCTCAAGTCATATTTTTGGAATTTGCTATGAAGTATTTTCTTTCCTGAAATAAAAGCATACATTAAACTCTCTGAAGTTGTATGTATATTGTGCTGGGTCATTAATGATGCTAAGAAGAGAGTTGTCTAAGGATTTATACTAATTACATGGAAGTGATGTGTGTTCTAACACCTGGCTCTATTAAAAGGACAGGTGGAGCTGTTTAGGGCTTTGACTAATACAAACCAATGACCCTAATCCCATGGCCATTTAAAACCTACTTGTCTTATTTCACTGTTTTTCTACATTCTTTCTATTCTTTTCATATACTGTTCATTCTTACAGGATATGAAGGAACCAAAGCAGGGAACTACACCTAATTATATTTAAATGTGCTTCTTTTTCCTCAGACCTTTAGTCAAATTATATATCAACAGATGTGGAAGGGGAGACTCATATTTTAATTTCACTTTTTCTATAATTTCTCTTCATGTGTGCCCTTTTCCCCATTTTACGAATGTTTAATCTGGCAACTAACTGTGGTACAGTGATGCTCTAATACAGGAACCTGTTAAAACAGTTCTTCCTGATCTGACATTAGGTGTATTTTGGCAGCACATAGGGTTTATATTTGCAATTTTGAATTGAATTTGCAATTTTGAATTCATAGCACATTAACTTTTTTTTTAATTTGTTATAATTAACGAAGCAATGTTCTTTCAGTTCCTTACAACCGCAGGAAATTCTAAATACCCTGTGCAAGAAAAACTGATTAAATGTCAAAATGACATTAAGAAATCTTGGGAAAAGAGCTAGATGTTTTATTGTTCTGTGGTAATTTATCCCAGTTTAATTATTTATTCTGCTGAATGAGGGTTTATAGGCAAGTCTGCCCTTGATTGACCTTGAAAATATGTAGTGCCATCTGCTTTGCGGTGAAGAGCTTGATTCTATACTACAAAGAGTATTCATTGTAAAGTCCATTTATAGGTGGTGGATAACTGACTTTCAGAATATGCATATTCTGTGGATCAGCCTGAAATGTGAGCCAGCTTATTCAATTATAAGTTACTGACATTAGCTAGCAGGGAAGAGGGTTGATTTTAAAGTAACTTTGTACACTGAAAAGAAGAAATACTTAAATGTGGGGATGCCCATTACCTTACGCTTTGCAAGCAAAAGAATCAAGGCTCAGCATTCAACATTTCTATCTGAAGTGTCTCTGATTAGAAAAGACCTCTACAACTTCAAGGATCCTTGCCCGTTAGAATACAGCAAAATGGACCAATTCAGCATCAGGCAGCTTTACTGTATCTTGGAACTAGACAAGAACAAACTGTCTAAAAATTTTAAGATTTTTTTTAAATGATTCCAGAATGTTGTAGCCAAATATTGGATTCCTATAAGCAAGAGGCACCTGTACCTTGTTTGCTCCTTGATAAGAAGGACTTATGAATTAGTTAACAGTGATTGGATTTTGTACAAGTGCAAGAACTAGCAGACTGTATTCATGCTGTGTACTGGGCTCTTATTTAAACTTTTGGGAAACAAGTAGCTTTGAAGATTTTTATTTCTTCCCTGGAAGAGATAGGTACACCCAGCAGGAGACAGCTGTATTCTGCCATCCTCTCTCCTTCACACTTCCCCATCCATGCCAAAAGCAGTTTCCTGAGGCACATTGCTCCCAGTTACAGCTAACCAGAGAACATCTTTGGAATAGGTACCCAGAAAAACTGTCTTAAAGGATAGTCTTCTTGCATTTGTGTGTGAACTCGTATTTCTGACTTCATATTTTACACTTGTGTTTTGTCATTTAGAAAATAAAGCCATTGCTTACCATCCTGCATTATTTTTCTGTTTCAGGATTCTGGCAAAGATGGGGACGACAGTTCAACTCAGGAAGATGAGGGCTTTATGGGAATGCTGCCTCTCCTCCAAGCCCACCATGCAATGGAGAGAATGGAAGAATTTGTATGCAAGGTAAGGTGCTGTAAAGCAAAGGGGCCTCGTGCGCTAGCAAGCTTTACACAGTTGGTAGGCCCTGTGGCTAGCAGTGCATGCACTTCTGGCAACAAAGAGGCAAGTCACAGTGGGTGGCCATCAAGAACTGCTGTCATCTTGGTGGTTACTTCTGTTTCGGTGGGTGTATGTTCAGATCTCAAGCCTTCCATAATTGGATAAATTAGAAAGTTTAATATGATGTGGATTACAAGTTGAAATGTGGGATTAAACATGATGGTACAACTGTTGAGTCTCCTTTTAGAAACATCTGTGGAAGTCCAAGCAGAATAATACTCTGTGCTTCACGTGTTTCTGGGTCAAAGGACTTTAATTTACAAGGTCGCATTTTTTTCCCCACACTCTTTCTTTTAGTCCTTGCAAACCTTTGTTTTCAGATTACCATATGCCTCTTTTGTATTGGAACCTCATTGTCTCCACAATCTAAGGCAAAAATAAAATCCAGATTCTATTGAATTGCTATCCTGGGCAAATCTATTGTATAATTCTGGGAGCATTGCTTATCTTGATTTTTCTTTAGTTATTTAAAGGAAGTAGTTCATACTATATAATAGCCTAAATACTAGACAACTATGGTTGACTTCAGAAGTAAAACTTAACAGAAGATTTTTGCCTTGTTTTGCATTATCTGCATCATTGGAATGAGAGACTAGCAACCTGGTTACCCAACACAAATTCTTTTAAACTGTAATCCCAGTTTAGAAATGTGACAGAAGAAACTGCTTCTTTCTTTTATCCAGTATTGAAACTATTAAAAAATATATATTTGATTCCTGTTTAGGAACCACTCTTCTGTTTGTTTAATAAACTGTATGTATTAGATTGTCATGGCCTTCATGCATTATATATTCCTAGGGTGATCTATTACAGAGGCTTGCAGTCCAGTGAGTTATGTGATGATACATACATGCTTCTTTTTTCATTCCTACTTTTATCGCCTACAGAATGGATATTCTGAAAGGACACTTCCCTGTGGGAAAATATTTCACACTAAGCAACATTATAGCCACATGTGAGAGCAGGTTGATTGTTATTGCACATTACTATGCATAGGTTCAAGAAATTAGTTGAAATATTTTCAAAATTTGCATAACATCTACCGTTGTGCCCTTGAGCAATATTAGATGATAGAAGCATGTGGACTAATAGGCCTGCCTTTTGAGGGTAATTATATTCTTGCTCTTGTACAGCACTTCCTTTTGATATAGCTTAACTAGAGAGGAATCATAATCATCCTGTTGTCAGGTTCAGCCCAAAGAACTCCACGAGACAGTACAGGTCTAGTTCGGTAGCTTTTATTAGCTTTCAACCACAAGACGGAATCTCACCAGACTGAATCTAAACTTCCCAAGCCAGCAAGCAAACACCGTGAATTCCTTAGGGTGGTGCCAGTCTCACCCTCTTTACCTTCCCACACTCCTGCTGGGGGCTGAGGAAATGCTTATCTCCCCAAATGCGGCCTTCACCAAACCATTCCATCACACCTGTTTTCTAATTGCATGTGGAAGATCAAATGTACATATATAGATACAGCATATATGAAGTTTTCCTGTAGTGGCAGGGATTTTTCAGCAGACCTATTCCATCACACCATGAACCAGAATGTAACTTCATATTACTTCCTTTAGGTATGGGAGGGCCGATGGCGTGTCATTCCCTTTGATGTCTTGCCCGATTGGTTAAAGGACAACGACTACCTGTTGCATGGGCACCGACCACCTATGCCCTCTTTCCGGGCTTGCTTTAAAAGCATTTTCAGAATACACACAGAGACAGGCAACATCTGGACACATCTACTAGGTACACTTGATGAAAATGTTAAAGGTTTTTTTTAAAATTTTCATATTGGAATAGGGATGAAAGGAATGGAATATGCCATTTTTGCAACTCTGTTAGAATAAATTATTTTGGTCCAGCATTAATTTCTATTGATTTGAACCCATTACTCTGATATGTACAGCTCAGCCAGCAAGTTGTAATCTATTCTCCTGGCCACCTGTGGCTGGTAACAATTTGAAGATTGCTGTTGACCTGCCAGATTGTTGCTGTTGATCTACTAGATTCATGTGAATGGTTGCACTCTACCGCCTGTTCTCTCAAATGATCATTTTAGTTAAGATCATCTTACCTTTCTCTATTGATACCCATCCGACCTATGCATTATATGGTGCCTTTAACAAGCTTGAGTTATGATGCCACACCAGTGGTTGTTCTTTTTAACTGTCATTATTGTTCATTGCAGCATATAAGTTTGTTTTTTTTATCAAGATATCTTGCATTCATCAAATTTCTAAATCAAGATTTCTGGCCCAAGGCTTTGACATGGGCTGTCTGAATTGCAGTGATGCGGATCAACATTATCTGTTGCAACTCTCTGTGGTTGCTTAATAGCAATGTTGAGCCTTTGAAAGTAGCTTAATTACCCATGCTTCCTGGCGATTGGGACTAATGTTATGAGAAGCTACCAATTAGCCTGAATTGCCATTGCAGTCAGTATATCCTACTGATCTGGAACAAAACTTGATTTGCTGACATTTGTAAAGAATGTAAATTACAACTATTTTACTTGACAGGATGCTTGGATCAAAGTATGCCTGCCCCAAGCCTTAGTGGCTCACTGATCATATGTGATTCAATATGCATAATTATAGTAAGCTGAACCCGATTCCAGCTTTGTATCAGGTCACTTGTTTTGCTGGACTTTCATAATACTGCTAAAATGTTTCATGCACCAGGAGTAACCTTGAAATAGGGGGTGAGGACTGTAAGCAGGTATTAGTTGGAAAAACAAGAAACTCTAGTAGGATAGACTCGAAAAGCTGGAAAGAGCAGTTAGCATTGCTATGAATTTATTGGATAACTTTGACAAATCTTTATCTCTTGTCAGAAAATAAGCCAACAGGAAAGTAGATCATTCTCTTGAAAGCAAACATTGGCTAGAAAATGCACAATCATAAGGTAGATGATTTAGAGGCAGTATTTTGTGGTTACCCCCCTTTGTCCATATTACAGTTTGTCAAGGCTAACAACCATGTCTTTCTTTGTCCAGGATGTGTGTTCTTTCTGTGTTTGGGGATCTTTTACATGTTCCGGCCAAATATGTCCTTCGTAGCACCCGTGCAGGAGAAGGTGGTGGTTGGATTGTTCTTCTTAGGAGCCATCCTTTGCCTTTCCTTCTCTTGGCTTTTTCACACAGTTTACTGCCATTCAGAAGGTGTTTCTAGGCTCTTCTCCAAGTAAGCATTATAATGATTAAGTATGAGCTTAAAAATCCAATGCTTGTCTCCTTTTAGGTGTGGTCAGGGGGAAAGACTGAAGAAATTGGATAAATTTGCTCATTTGGCATGTGGTAATATGGATTGCTTAGGCAATGTATATAAACCATTTTGAAAATGTATGTACTGAGCTTCTTAGGGCTAGATGGGAAGTAGCATAAGAAGCCTTCACAAGCCTGGGCAGTGGATAATAGCAGTTCTGGTTAGCATATCTGAAGGTCTCCTGTTTGGAAAGGCTTGCAAAAAACTTTGTTTCAGGGTTCAATGGACTATATATCTACCAGTAGAAGAGAATATATGTAGCTCAGGGTTAAACTGTAGAGTCCTTTGGTTCCTGAGCTTGGTTGTTTTCTTTCAAACATTTTGTTACCCAACTAGGTAACATCTTCAGTGCTAGTGGGATTTGCTCTTGGTTTATATGCAGTGGCTTGCCCTGTTGGTGGGGATGTTGTCTTTTTTCCCTTTGTAGTTCCTTGATTAGGCTGTTGTTTACTGCTTGATTGTTTGTCTGGTGTCACTCCTGGTGTTAATCCCTGCTTATCTGGGTGTTGATTGCTGGTGAGGAGGTGTCCTCGCCTTTTTGTTTCTTTTTTGTTGTCTTTTGAATAGTGTGTAAATATTGTTTATCTCTGTGTGCCTATTGACGGCTGACTAGTCTGAATACGTCGCATTTTTGGATTTAGCTTCGTCTAAGATACTGACAGTTTCCCAGTTGAAACTATGGTTAAGTCTGTCCATGTGCTATGAGATTAAGGAATTTTCATTGTGTCTTCTGACCGTTAGTTGGTGTTCATGGATATGCTCTGCTAGTCTTCTGCCTGTCTGTCCTACATAGTGGTTGTTACAGTCCTTACACTGTATATTGTAGATGACTCCTGTTTTTCCTTCTTGGGCTATTGGGTCTTTTGGTTTACTTAAGATTTTCTGGAGGGCTTTAGTTGGTTGTGTGCTACGGTGATGCCATATGATTGTAATAGTCTGTTGATTGTTTCTGAAATGTTTCTGATGTATGAAACGGATAACATTGCCATACATCAGAAACACCTCAGAAACAACCCACCAACATTATATATAAATAGAGAGCAAACCCCATTCCCTTCTAGCACTGAAGATGTTACCTAGTCAGGTAATGAAATGTTTCAAGAAAACAGCCAAGCTCAGAGAACCCCAAGGACTCTACAGGACTATATATCTCTCTTACATTTAAAGTTTACAAGCCAGTTTGAACATAGATCTCCAGAGTTGTTTTCTTAGAGTTTTCACCAGTATTCAGAGTTTGTTTTCAGAATGTAATCGTGTTATGGATGAGAGCAGGCATGATTCTTATTGGTTATAAAGTTAGGTGCATCAGTGCTATGAAAGCTATGTAATCAAGGAGCATGCAAGATGCTAGAATATGTGAATTTCTCTACAAATGACTTTTTTCCTCCCTTGTCTTAGGCTGGACTATTCTGGGATTGCTCTTCTTATAATGGGCAGCTTCGTCCCGTGGCTTTACTACTCTTTTTACTGCAACCCTCAGCCCTGCTTCATCTATTTGATTGTGATCTGTGTCCTGGGCATTGCAGCTATTATAGTTTCACAATGGGATAGGTTTGCAACACCTGAATATCGAGGAGTACGAGCAGGTGAGATTTCTAGAATGGTCTTTGCAACATATATCACAGTTGGAATGAAGAACTGAGCCTAGCATAAATGATGCTGTGCCCTTTGACATTACATAATGCAATTGTCACTTAGATTTGCATAATATTACATTCCAGACATCTCTGTTTCTGTAGCAAAAGGCTTTGTGACATCTTAAAGACAAATCTGTTACAGCCTGTGAATGCCACTTCACACATATATAAAGTGTTGTTATTCACTAGTCATATATTTTGTGTCCATGTACAAAAAAAAAGCAAAAACAAAACCCCCAAATATGAAATGTTTATTTTATGTGAAAAAAATCTGCCAGCTGTGGATAAAATAGGATACTCCTGTCAAACTGACTACTTTTTACAAACATTTAGGCCATAATAAATCTATTAATCTCTGAAATGCCGCAAGAGGTTTTTTTTCTGCATTGTGTGTTCTAATTGTGCCCATTATGTAACATCTTGTTTGTGAGACTATTTATTTATTTCAAACATTTATATAGCCACCCACCTTATATCAAACTCTGGGTGGCTCCCAACCAACAGTTAAGAATACATATATCTATTAAAACCACAAACTTTAAAACCTGGCACCAAGTTAAACTTTCACACGCAGTCCATCACTAACTCCTCTCATCAAGCTCCCCCTTTCCATTGCTTTGGGGAAAAGCCAGGTCTTCAGTGCTTTTCAGAAGACTAGGAGGGTGGGGGCCTGCAGAACTTCAGGGGGAGGGGCATTCCATAGGGTAGGGGCTGCCACGGAAAAGGCACGCTTTCTACATCCCATAAGATCTCTAGATCCCGTAAGATGGCAATGTTTAAGGGAAGGGACTATGAGCGTGCCACCTTATGTGATCTGGTAGGACAGGTAGTTGTCCTTAGGGAGAGCTGGTCCTGCAGATAACCTGGCCCTGTGCCATGTAGGGCTTTAAAGGTAATAACCAGCACCTCGAATTGCACCCCAAAGGAAACCGGAGCCAGTGTAGCTGTAGTGGGCACAATGTGTATGTGCTGTAGTAGGTACAGACCATATTTGCATATAACACAAAAATACATTTAACACTGTTTACCAGGGAAAAAAGATTTGTCAGAAATTACTTAATTTTACGGATTATAAAGATGGTGCATTTATTTAGCCACAGTTTGTGTTATAGTAGAACGCCTCTGGTTCAATAGCAAACCAGGTACATTGGTAGTGAAGTTAAACAGGTTGATATTCTTACCACATAGGCAGAGGACATGGAAGCTTAGAGCATCTGCAGCTTCTTTCTACTTGACCGAGTAATGTTAAGTTGGCATTGCTCTGTTGGTGATCACAGACAGAAAAGCGCTGTTCTGAATTGAAGTTATAGCTGGATTGATCAGGAGAACCATTTTAATTGATCGGAACAGTTTTAGCCCTATCAGTTTATGAAGGACTATAGCCCTAAAATGAAATTTAAATTAATTTTAAGTCTATATTAAAAAGCTTTAGTGTTTTGCTTTGGGATCCTGAGCTTTGACCATTTGATCTCACTTTCCCACAGTTCACTGTACCCAAGTCTGAATCTGTTGTATTTCTTTGTCTCCTAGGAGTCTTTCTGGCCCTGGGCCTTAGTGGTGTGATTCCCACTCTGCACTTTGTCATCTCAGAAGGGCTCCTCAAGGCTGCCACAATGGGGCAGATAGGGTGGCTGGCCCTCATGGCCTGTTTGTATATCACTGGTGCTGGCTTGTATGCTGCTCGTATCCCAGAGAGGTTTTTCCCGGGCAAGTGTGATATCTGGGTAAGTATAGCTAGAGCTGTCAGGCATATGCCAGGGAGGGCGAGAGGCATGATAGATAGATAGATAGATAGATAGATAGATAGATAGATAGA